AACCCCAATTCCATCTTCATATCAATAATTATGCCAAAATTTTTGCCAAGTTATTTATATCTGTAGATTAGAATAATAATTGAATGCTTTATTTTATCCTTTCTGGTGCTAATTCCATACTTATATTGATAACGAACCAGATTATTCTGTTCACACTATTCATACCTACAGATTTCTCGTCTTTATTGACTCTAATTCCATATTCATATCGATAAATAAGCCAGAGTATTTCATCTCTATTATTCATATCTAAAGAAATAAATGCTTTATTATAATCTATCTTGCCGATTTTATCATATTGATAAAAAACTATCATTCTATCCGTATGATTCATACCTGGAGATTTTTGATAATGGATGAGTACTTTGGCTCCGATTCCATCTTCATATCAATAACCAAGCCAGAATAGTTTACCAAATAATTTATACTTGCAGATTTTGATAATAAGTAAATGTCTTATTTCTATTCTTTCTGGCTTTAATTATATATTATTGTTATTAATAAAACCAGATTATTTTGTCTATACTATTTATACCTGTAGACTTTTCATCCTCATTGACTTCAATTCTGTATTTCAAGCCAAATATTTAATCCATATTATTCATATCTACATGAAATGAATACCTTGTTATAATTAACTTCATATTTATATTAATAACAAAGCTAATCTATATGTTCTATACCTGTAGATTTTTAGCAATGGATGAATGCTTATTTTCATTTTTCAGCTCCAATTCCATCTTCATATTAATAACCAAGCCAGAAAATTTCGCCAAATTATTCGTATCTGCGGATTTTAATAATGAGTGAATGCTTTATTTTTATCTTTCCTGTCTAATTCCATAACAAAACTGAATCATTCCATCCATATATTCTTACCCGTATATTTTTGATAATGCATGAATGCCTCTTATTGACTCCAATTCCATATTCATACCTATAATCGTCTGAAGTATTCACGCTGCAGATTTTTAATAACAAATGAACGCCTTATTTTCATTATTTTGATTTACAGGCGCATTCATAACAACAAAAGATTCATATCTACAGATATTTAATAATGATTAAATACCAATTCTATTAGCAACAATAATTGGCCAAAATATCTCATCGTGTTATACATACATGCAGATTTTTGATAGTAAATGGATGCCCTATTTCATTCTTCGTAACCTCTATTACACATTCAAGCCAAAAATTCTATATATCTACAAATTTCAACAATAAATTAATATCAATTTTAATAACTAATCCAAAGATTATTTTGCGTATTCTTACCTGAAGACTTTGCAATAGATGAATATCTTAACTCATTTCATTTATAACAATAACCAAGCCAGAATTTTTCTGGATCCTTTATGCCTCAGGTTCGTAATCATAGGTTTTTTTTTAACCGATGTCAAGTAATGTATTTAATGCTTTATTTCGTCTTTCTTAACTCTGGTTTCAATTGTATTAACATTGAATGACCGCTTTTTATCTGAAGAAATATTTATGTCTTCGGAGTGGAAAACCAAAAATTATATTGTCTACAAGAGTTGCCACCTACAGCCAACTTTAAATTGCTTCGCAATTGTTCTTTTTATATTTTGCTTACAACAGTTTTACCAGAATTACCACCTTTAACAGATACTATTCAAATTCTTTTCATTCTTAGCAGTAACTATACCACTTTTATATTAGAATCTAAGATTATGTTGCCCCTGAAAATTAGCCGCTCAACGCCTTTTTTTTATTCTTGGTAGTGTCTATACACTATTTACACTATTTGCATAAATAACTAGCTGCTTTTTAGCTCCAATTCTGTATTCACTCTTCTTTGTACTTTCTAATCAAATATTATTCTATCCCGACTAATAAAGTATAACTATAACTTATTAATATGGTTTAAATTTACTTACTCTTTAATATCTTCACCTTTTTCAAATTGATCTAATAAATAGCGAATATATTTTTGCTTATATTTTGCCTTAAAACACTGAATAATTCCTGCGTCCATAGGTTGGAGGTGTGAAGTGGTATAAGGGGGAGAAATTTGATCCTAATATTGATAAGGCGAAGTTTAGAAGGGTCTAGAAGTTTATATACACTCTTGCAACTTCTGCCGCGTTTTTCTAGACTACTCCTTGCTCTCTTATTGCTTCATATATCATCTCGCTGATTGGTAGATTCTTCATCATCAGATGTATCTTGTGCATTACTTGGTATATTGGCTATTGTTTTATTTGGATCAAAATGACATGCAGCACCATCTATTAATAATAAAATTTGCCAATTTTCAAGACAGAATTTTTTATTCAAAGTTTCTAACCATTCACCAAATATATCACTACGTATCCAAGCATTTCCATTTGAACAGTATGTGACAGGTAATGTTTGATGGTTTATACCAACTAAAGCTCATGGCTCAATACTAGATCCAATCACAAGTGGTTGTATCTTCTCAGTTCTAATAGCATTAGAAGCTAACAATATTGTAATACATGTACGGTCTTATAAGTTTATATTTTTTAGTCTTTTTTTTTTTTTTAAAAAAAAAAAAAAAAAAAAATTTTTACACACTTTTTTCCAACCAGAACGTGGTTTCGAGGTTAATGTTTGATGTGGTGCCAAGCGATAAAATAAGCCAGTTTTATCTGCATTGTATATATTATTTAACGTAAACTCTTGAATAATTTCCCATAATTCTTGTTGAAATTCTGGAAGTGATTCAATTGGTACACTCTCTGCTTCACTATGTAATCGAAAATTTTGCAAGTGATTTTATTTTTTAAATTTGTCAATTCAACCATTAGAAAATTTCAATGTATTTTCAGATAATGAAAGAGCATGAGCAAAATAGATAGCTTTTTCTTTGATTATTGCCTCAGTTAAAAGCAATCTTTCATGAATAATGCTTTCAACCCATAATTGCATAGCACGGTCTAATTGTGAAAATTTTGTTTTTTTATGTTTAAAAACTGTATCAGAAATTTCTGCTTCTGTTTTAGCTAACTATTGATCTTTGTCTTTTAATATTTTAGAAATAGTAGAACGATCAAGTTTTTTTTTTGAATCTTGAGTATTGAAATATAAAGCAATTTGTGATTGTATATGAGTAGGATACTTTAAATGATATTTACAAATTTTATATTTCAAACTATCACTAATTGCAGTACGCGTTCTTTTTATAATAGTAAATTGATTAGACATAGTGAATAAGATTAAAATTAAAATTAGTGTTATAATTTTCTATATTTATATTAAAGCTTAAATTTAAAGTTTAAAATCGGTTAATTTTACATACCGTACAGTGCTGTATACAGTACCCCAATGAAAAGATTGTACTATAATTATAAAAATTAAACCATAAATCGCTTGTCAGAATACACTCCAGAGGGTTTGATATGTCTAATAGAATGTATATATTGATCAGTAATAATTATTTGTATTATCCTCCCATCTTTCAATATTTGGGATATAATTCAATCTAGGTCGGCTTTCTTGAAAAATATCTGGAGTACCATATGCGGGACTGTAGAGTACTGTATATATAGGAGTACTATAGTATATATCCGTACAGTACAACCTTTTCATTATATAGAATGTAAATGAATACTGAAAGCAGTTTAAAATTACTGCAAAGGAAACCCAGTCATCAAGGATTTAAGTTTATTGCTTACCAGACTAAATCTATCTAATTTGTTAGAGATTTGTTAGATATTGTGGCTAGTAAATTATATAATTTTAAATAATTTATTACGCAGATAAATATAACAATAAATTAAAAAAAGGTTTTACTTAAAAGTGTAATTAATTTATATATGTCTTACATTCGTAATACTATTATATTATTATATATCGATATAACAATTCGCAAAATGCATATTAATTCTGAATTGTATAAAAAATCAAAATTGAC